ATCATCAGGTTATATTCATCGAACAGTATCGAATGATAGTTGTATTTATGATGATAATACTCTTCGACATGTGGTAAAAAAAACCGATATTTTTCTTTTGATCATATATATTATTTATTTTTATTCTTTTGTTTTTTTAGGAAGATTTATTAATAAATTTAAAAAAACGTCGACAAATTTTAAAAGAAAATCAACGAACAATTAATGAAGAAATTGAAGATAATAAAACTCTTGGTGCTAAGGTAGAATTAAAAGAATAATTGAATAATAATTGATTTCTTGATTTTATTTTTAGCTATTAAATATAATTGAATCAAATGCTGAATTAAGTGAAATCGAAAAATTTAAATTACATATTAATGAAATCGATACAATAACATCCATACTTCTTAAACTAAGTAGTCGATTAGCTAAAGTTGAAAATGATTTATCAATGCTTTCCGGTAATAATGAACATACAAAGGTAAATCTTAATAAGTCAAATAATGGAAAAAAGATTTATATTAATTCTATAATGGTAAACAATTAGCGCATATCTAGACAGTAATATTAATAGCCAATAAAGCTTTCTATCTAATGTATGCTATAATAAGATTTCCTACGATGGCAAGCTTTATAAAAAAAAAATCGGACATAGTAATTTTCAGGTTCTAGAAGCTATTTTGCAATCGTGCCATTTTAAAAAACATAAAATGAGGATCGCCGCATTTTCTAGGATCTTCTATGAAAAAGTTGAAACTATAAAAAAAACGAAATTCCTCAAACATCAACTAAAAAAAGTTTTTTTTTTCCCCGATTTTTATGATGCTTTTAACTTTTCAGGAAGAATTCGTAGAAAATGTGACGATCCATCATTTTGAACTCTTTGAAATCTCATAGTCTTCAGGCACCTGAAAACCAGCATGTTCGGTTCTTTTTAGAAATCTTACCATGATAGTTCATCTATAAAATCTTGCTATAGAATACATTAGATAGAAAACTTCATTGACTATTAAAACTATCATGGGCTGGAGTCTATCAGGTTGGTTGCGACCATGTTCGGGTCCCATAGGCTTTAGTCGTGTGAGAAATATATAGGATACGCTAGTCATCAAATACGAAAAATTGGAAAAAAAAGGTATCTCATATCTTCGGAGCGACCGTCTAATTCTGATTAGAAAATTTCATTGAAAGTATCAAAGTACGGTTCGAAAAAGTTTGCACTCGATGAGTTCTA